CCCCAAAACCCCAAAACCCCAAAACCCCAAAACCCCTTTTTTGAAGATCAGGATAGAAATTAAGATAATTGCTTTAAAGCTCTAAAATGAAACCTTTTCTGCTTACTCTAAAAGTTACTTTAGGAAATTTCAGAGAGATTTCGTCAGGCAGTTCTGGTACTATAGTTCAAAAAGATTTATAAAAAATAGTCTTGAGAGAGCTTGAAACAGGTGAATCCATTATTCATGAGAGGGTTCTACAGAATAGCTGTTGTTGAGTGGAATAAGAGTTTGTATAATACCTATACCTTTAAGTGAGTATAAATTAAGCATATCAATTCATAACTTTACAGTTTAATGCTTCAAAACGCTTAACACAGTTCAAAAACTTACCATCCATTATTGCTTCTTGTTGCTAAAGTCTGGTCATCAAAATAGCAATCTTCAAAAATGATTTTATTTTAGCTTAGACTGAATAATACAGGCTTTCTCTGAAGGAACTCTTAGCTTTGGTCTTGCTCTTTCATTATTTAAAGAGAAAGATCATCAATCGAATGTTACTGATTCCAAGTGCCGGAAGGAGAACAACAGTTTGTGGAAGGACCTGAAAGGAAGTTTCACCATTGATAATTGAAACTCTTTGGTAACAAGATTAGCGATTCTGGTGATGATTCTTAAATCGATAGGAATTGTTCTACTTGAATAAAAGACTTGTCCTGGTAATTTAAGAGCGAACTGATCCAAGGCCATCGAACAACACTTTGAGATAAATCTACTAAACACTTTATAATACCTATAAAACCCTATATAGAGTATAACCTTAGTCTTGCATTTCGGAATCCTCATACTATCTCTAATAAACACCTTCATTAATCTCAAATCATTAGGTATACACCCCGACAGGAACACTTGGTCAATATCCAGCACTCCAAAGGTCTTCACAACCTTATTCTCATGCATCCCCTCCTTCTTTAGTACTCTTTCCTCCACTTCCTTCTTAAGCGCCCTCTGCTTCTTAAAAGTTTTCTTCCTGTCCATCTTATTAATTATAATTCAGCTTTGTGGGTGATTTCTGGGGTTTTGGGGTTTTGGGGTTTTGGGG